GGTGATGATGAACTCCTTTAGTTTTTTCTTGCCTGGGAAGCTCTTTATCTGCCCTTCAATTCTAAATGATGGCTCTGCTGGGTAGAGCAATCTTGGCTGTAGGTTCCTGCTTTTCATGACTTTGAATATGTATTGCCAGTCCCTTCTAGCCTGCAAAGTTTCATTTGAGAAATCAGCTGACAGTCTTATGGAAACTGCCCTGTAGGTAACTGACTTCTTTTCTCTTGATGCTTTTAAGATTCTCTTTTTATCTCTAACCTTTGGCCTTCTAATTATGATGTGTCTTGGGGTGGCCTCTTTGCACCCATCTTGTTGGGACTCTCTGTGCTTCCTGGATTTGCATGTCTATTTCCTTCACCAAATTAAGGAAGTTTTCTTTCATTATTTTTTCAAATGGATTTCCAATTTCTTGCTCTTTTTCTTCTTCTGGCACCTCTATGATGTGGATGTTGGACCTCTTGAAGTTGTCCCAGAGGCTTATATCCTCTTTTTTTTGGGGGGGGGGATTCTTTTTTCCTCTTGTTCTGATTGGTTGATTTTTGCTTCTTTATGTTCCAAATCATCAATTTACTTCTCAGCTTCATCTACTCTACTGTTGTTTCCCTGTAAATTGTTCTTTATTTCATGTATCCTTCATGTCTGACTGGATCTTTTTAATGCTGTTGATGTTCTAAGTTCCCTGGGCATCCTTATAACCAGTATTTTTAACTCTGCATATGATAGATTGCTTATCTCCATTTCATTCAGGTCTTTTTCTGGAGTTTTAATCTGTTCTTTTGTTTGGGCCACATTTCTTTGTCTCCTCATTTTGGCAGCCTTCCTGTGTTTGTTTCTATGTATTAGGTAGCGCTCCTTTGACTCTTTGTCTTGGTAATGTGACCTAATGCAGTAGGTGTCCTATAGGATCCAATGGCACAACCTCCCCTATGACCCAATCTGGTGATAGGGGAAGTGCTCCCTTTGTGTGGGCTGAGTACTCCCTCTTTTTGTAGAGCCTTGATTGCTGTAGGCAGATCAATGGGAGGGATTTACCCAGGCCAGTAAGCTGCAGGGACTGGCTGTGACCACTGACCACCAACCTCCACCCTCTGTGGATCATCAGCTGTGCAGGGCAGGGTGGTGGTGCTCCGATGTTGTCTGTAGCCGTCCACTGGGTGCGCTGGCCCTGGGATTTCCCAAGTGGTGCAGGCCAAGGTCAGCCCGCACCTGTGTTTTGCCTGGGGCCACCTTACCTGAGCTATAAAGCGATCTGAGATGGCTGCTACTTGTGCTGGGCTTGGAGATTCCCAAGTGAAGCCAAGCTGTGAATCTAGGCTGGCTGCTGGTCTTGCTGGGCCTGGGACTCACTGAGGCCAACTGTGGCTTGTTTGAGAGGATTTAGGAAGTTGTGCAGCATGAGCCAAGACCAGCCATTTATATGGAAAAGCAGCCATTGGGCCCATAGTTTGGGTGTGGCAGAGCCTCTGGGGATCTGCACAATGGGTCAAACAGTGCTGGCCAGGCTGATGGAGTCTCAGATATGGCACCATCTTGTCAGCTCTGTGGCCGTATCGGGGGAGGGTTTAGAAAAGGAACAATGGCCTCTGCTCACCTTGATGCCAGACACTTCAGGTCCTCCCTGTATGTCACTGGAGCCTTTCAAGCCACTACCCTGATGCTGGAGCTCAAAGGGAGTGAGTCTGAGTAGGCGAGTCCATGTGTGGGTTCTTTAGGAGGAACTGCTTGGGGCTCCAGAAGTTTTTTCCGCCAACTCAGTATCCACTGGTTTTTGCAGCCAGAAGTTGTGGGGACTCACCTTCCTAGCACTGGAACCCTGGGCTTCGGTCCCTGGTGTGGGACTGGGACTCCTAGCTCCTGAAATATCCCTCTCGAATTTTTTCCATGGCACTTGGGTGTGGGACCAGCCTGTTCTGCGTCTATGCCCCTCCTACCAGTCTGGATGGATGTGGTTTCTTTAATTCCACACTTGTCAGACTTCCATTCAACTCGATTTCTGACAGTTCTGAGTGATGGTTGTTCTATATTTCAGTTGTAATTCTGATGGTTGTGTGAAGAGGTGAGCCACTTCGGCCTATGCTGCCATCTTGACCCAAAGTCTCCATTAATTCTCCATTGATTTTACTAAGAGTTCTACGACAGCAGCAGCTGATGCAGCGACCTCTCTCTCTTGTTCTCCTAGCTTTTGTAACCCACATTCCAGTTCTTTCTACTTCTCAAATCACTCCTTCTATGCCTCAAGCCTAGGCTGCCGCTAACGTCCTGCGCACTTACACATCCAGTGTCCAAAGGCCACTTGGTGTCTCACAAGCATTTCATATTGTACATGAATACTTGATCTTTCCACCTCCAAAGAACCTTTCTGCTGCTCCTCCAGTTTTTCTGCTCAAGCAGAAACCTAGAACGATTACTCTCTTTTTCTTTACCACTTAACCAAGCCGATTGTAAGTCGCATCCTTTCTACCGCCAAAATTTATTTCCATCTTCACAGCCAACTTTATAGCCGCAATCCCCATCAGTCGTGCTTCTCGACTAGTCTTCCAGCTTCCACTGTGACCTCACTCCAATCCATTCGTAACAGATTAATCAATCTAAAGAGCCATTCCGGTTCTGTGTCTCACTGCTTAAAGATTATGTTAAAACTTACTTTGAAACTCCCTACCTTAGCATATTAGTCCTTTATAATTTGGTCTGTCCCTCCAGGCTCTTCTCTTCCTCCTTCATGTGTACTATGTGCTTCGGCCTGCACTTGCAATGCCCCAGACATGCTTTGGCACATGTTGCCTCTGCCGAGGGCACCGTCCTCTCCTCAGGCCCTATAGCAGCAACCAGCCCCCTTTCTCGTGCAGCGCTCGCCTGGCTAAAGCCTACTTATCCTTCGGAGTTCAACTCGGGCGTCCCTTTGCAAGGCATCCTGCCCTAGCCTGGGTTAGGTGCTAGATCAGAAACGCATTCGGCTCTAGCAGAAAACCCACAGTGTCTTAAACACACAGGGTGTGTTTTTGTGTTTTCTTTTTTCTCTCACTAAGAAGCCCAAAGATAGGCTGTCCGGGGTAGGTGAAGGTCTTCAAAGACCTACGCTCTGCCAGTCTTTCTGCTTTCCATTCTTAGTTTATTGGCTCATCATCTAGTGGCCACAAGGCGGCTGCTACTACTTTGGACACGGTTCACATTCAAGGAAGGACAAAAAGGAGAGTGGGTGAAGACGGCTGTCTTTGAACCTTTCGTTATGAAAGCTAAACTTTCCCTTCTTGTTAGCCAAAAATGGACCTCATGGCTAGCCCCTCGCTGCAAAGGAGACTGGGAAATCAGGGGAAAGGATCGTCATAATTGGCATAGACTGTTTGGGCCCCAAATCAAATCCGGGTTTGATTAGCATGGGATAAGTAGGGAGTCGGCCCGGGGAAAGCAACTCACTCTGCTGCCAAAGGCGCCCCTCTGCGCTGGCCCCTATCATAGCGGTGTCCCGCGGCAGCATCTCTCATCAGATGGCAAGCTCCACGCGGGCAGGGACCGTGTCTTCTTTGCCTCTCTAGTACCTAACACCGTCCCTGACACAGTAGTTTCTCATTAAGTATCAATTATAGAAAACAACAAAATGAATGTATGTATTTAACAAATATGTTTTGAATTAATTTTCAAAAGCTTATATTATAAATTCATAACCTTGTTTGCCATTTAATGATACGGATCTATTATCTCAACAAAAGCATGGAATTCGGACCTAATTATCAGTCAGGATACACTCTCTTAGAGAGAGTGACATTCCAGGGTTCAGTTCAAGCCCTGATTATAAAATTCTCATAGAACGGACGGTGGCGCTTTCTGCGGAGGCCCCGCGGGAGGAGCCCAGGGAGGCCCTCCTAGGTCAGCTCCCACCTTGCTGGCCGCGCAGGCAGCCTTGCGGAGACGCTGTTTCCCGAGACCTGGGACGTGTCCATGGAAACAGACCGTGTGAACACCAAATCCGATCCGTCCGCGCCTCCCGCCAACAGAGGGGAGTCAATGCCGTGGACGCCTCAGGTCCTCCCCGGACTTTTTATTCCTGCGAGCGGCACACGCTCCGCAGCCACCCAAGTCGAAGCCGGGGAGTCCTCGGGGCTGCCTCCCTCCTTCCTGCGCTCTCCCCGTTTATCTCTTGAGTTGTCCTCAGAACGGCTTCCTCGCCTCTGCCGCTACTCGCAGTGCAGGCCCGCATCTGCTCTCCCGTGGACCGGCCAGATTCTGCGGGTTGGGCTCCCTGCTTCCAGTCTTAACGCTCTTAAAAACCATTTTCACATTTCTCTCGGAGAGACCTTTCTCCAATGTGCGTTCGGCCCTGTCATTGCTCCGCATATTAATCTCCAGTCCCGCGCGTTGCCTCCAGCATCACGTTCTAGCGCCTCCATAAACTGTCCCATCTCCTGCTTCAGCGTCATCTCTCAGCCCCTTTACCTCCTACTGCGTGTAACTCCCAGGAACCATCGGCTTCCTTTCTCCACGCAGCCATTTCGCACTCCCATAGCTTTGTCCTTGGGGTCGCCTCTGCCTAGAAAGCGCCACCCGCCTCCCCCGCCCCGCTTCGCGGGCTGACTTGGTCGGTCCTCAACGCTCGCCGATTTGGATGGGCTGCCCGGCAGCGCCCCTTCCCCGCGTAACCGGGTTCGCGCCTCCACCCTGAGCGGGGCAGGTTGTCTGACGGCCGCCCGGGGTGTCCGCGCTGCCGGGTGTGACCGGGCACTCTCGGGGCGCAGGGCCCCGTTCCACTCTGGGCCCTCGGTGCCCGGCCCAGACTGAGCAACCCATTCGCTTCGGCCAACTGGCTCAGTGAGGGAGTGGGAAGGCAGAGAAGGCAGCTTTCCGATGTGTCAAGTAGGCTGAAATGTTAGTAATGTAACTTTGACTTTTAAATAGGGGCAGAGTTTTTGTGTACCAGTATATCCCCATATGCCTATTTTGATCATGTATGCTATAAATGCTGTGTTGTATTCCTGATAAAGATGTATTCTGCATTTGGTTTTTAGGTTAAAGCCATTCACATCCATTCTGACATGTTCTCAGTTCAAAATGGCTTGCTGACACCAACCCTAAAGGCTAAGAGACGGGAGCTGAGAGAGTACTTCAGAAAACAAATACAAGAGCTTTACTCAGTCTCCATGTGAAGTTCAAGGGAAGTTCTTCTCAGTGCAATGGACTGTGTAGCAATATTATAGTTGTTATTGAAAGTAATGAGTCAGAATGATGCAGCTGAAAATGAACAAGCACGTGACCTTACAATTGAGCCTTTTCTTGTCCTGAGAGATCTTTAACAATATTTTCTCTATCATCACCGAATACACTTTATTTTTATTAAAATGATATTGTAGCAAGCTGCTAAAAATATTGCAAATGGCAATGTAAAAATCAAGACTTTTCTCAAGAACTGTGTACCACTAAAAGAAATATATTCTCAATGTTCTCAGCACTCCTATTAAACATAAAGGAAAAACATAACTGATATATTGTACTTAATTACCTGTGGAATAGTAACCAGATAGAGCAAATATCTAGGCAGTGTGGACTACCTCATTCAATAACTAATTGTCAAAATCACAATTAAATCAGACTTAAAAATTAGAACTGAGTGTACAGAATCACACTAAACAAAACATAACTCACATTTTACACAACTTCAGATTCTTCAAACATGACAGTCCTTGTTGATGTGAAAAAAGTTTTCTCTCTAATTTTTACTTTTATTCATGAAAAATACAAATTCAGATATTCTTAAAACAAATGTTATATTTATATAACATGTTACAAAAATCTTTAAATACATTTTCTCATAAGCTTATTAAAATATTCAGTAACTACCTAGAAAAAAATATAATGTATTAACTACTTCAAGAATAGTGTGTGTATATTCTTGGACTTCTTACCACATGAATTCTAAAAGCTGTCTGTTGTCTCTACAATGAATGGATCTTTGGGGAAGACTTGGGGAAAAAAACCCAGAATTATTCCTCAGGGTGGGCAGCAATTAAAGCACCTATGTTCCTTGCTAGGTTCCTCCAGGCTTCCATTCTCAATGTGTCTGCTCCAAGCCTGGGAAACCCAAAATGGCTATCATTCTGAACAATTTTACTTTTTTTCAGCAAGACTATCAAGGCACAATGTGGGGAGGAAGGAATGTTACTTCCAAATAAAGTAATTTTTCCACAACAATTTTGAAGAATATAAATATCTCCTCGGGGTATAATTCCATTCATAGAATCTTTAAGTGCTTCTAAGCTCTACCACAAAAACCTCTCTTGCATTATGTATTTAGACACTTCTTGCACCTGGGTGTCAACAATTTCATGTAATTAAAGCCCAGTATGAACAGCAATTAAGGTCCAAGCTACAGACTGTCCACCTGCAGAAGGAAACCTCCCTCGGAAAGCATTTTATTTAGAGATGGGACCCTGCGAGCAGAGATGGAGGCGGGGCTCATAGTCCAGAAGCCCCTTCCCCCGGAACAAACCCAGACTGAGTTAAAAGTGCATAATCATGCAGGCCTTCTGGATGGGCGTGCATCAGTGATTATACACTTAAACGCCGGTCTTGGCAAAAGTGAACCACAGCATCGTTGGATGTATTTATCCAGTTTTTTTAATATATATATTGCTTTGGCATATTCTCTTTGCAGACCCATTACTTGCCTTGCACTTACAAGTTGATTTTTTGTAAATGAGCTAGTTCTATGCACATTAATTCAAAGGCATTTCTGAATAAACAAACACTAGAAAATGCCTAAGGCCACATCTGTATAGCATTAATTTTTTATATTTAACATATATTTGACTAATTAAAAATGAAAATCATTACCTGAATTGGACATTTATACTATTTTGAAGGCAAATAGCTTCACATCTTGAAGAAAATGAAACTTTGGAACCAAAGTTGGCTTTGTTTCCAAAAGGATTTTGACAATGTCATATAAGCAAATGATTTAAAATGTATTTTGGTTCTATTTATACCTCATAGAGGTTAGATAAGGTTGATTATGGACACCTTAAGATTTCTTCTTTTTCTGATTTTAAAGCTCTTATATTTCTACCAGCCGTCCTGATCTGTGTGAAATCATCACACTTGGGCCAATAAATTAGTTACTGCAGATGTGCTGAGAAAAGTGAACAGGGAACCCTAAATATATCGCATATACATTTATCTATTCCTCTGTTTAACTCCACTGAATTTTTTTAATAAAGGAGAATGAAACAATATGTATTAATGGAAAAATCCTTTTGCTTCAGATTTCCCAACTTTATTCAGGGGGAAAAAAGTTTGTATTTCTCTTAAACCAATGCAGAGAAAGGCTACGTACTTATAACACTCACCGTCATAGTGGAGGCCAGATGCAAGTTAAGTCTAGAGGTAGAACCAAGATCAGTTCCTTTAGCATAAACACATTCTTAAACATATGACCTTTTACCTGTTTCTCATTCAAATGTGTTCGTAATTCTCACATTTTACAAGTTACTCTTGTGTATATTATAAAATAGAATTACACGATTTTTTTTTTTCATTTTGCTAAAAAAGACATCTCTGTATTGTACTGTGATAACCCCTAGGTGAGAGAGGAAACTCTGACAGGTGTCATGTGTAGGCCTAGGTCCAATTATTAGGAACTCAGGAGGCCAAGGAATGGATCTACCATGTCTCACTTACATAAGCAAGTCAATCTTTCATTCCTAATTTAGGTAAAACAGCAAGCATGAGAAAAAAAATGCTATTTTTATAGTCAGGTGATGTTTTAGCTACTTGAAGTTGGCACTGAACTTGATTGTATTACCCACTGAAGAGCCAATAATCTTATTTTTCTGCGTAAAGAAAATGAATTATTCTTTATTTTTCAAATGTATAAAGCACAAATGTCATCTAGTGATTTAGAATACAAAATACTATGAAATGAATGTAAAGAATGAAAAAAATGTATTTTTGCATGAAAACAGACTACTACTTACAGAATTGCGTAATTATCTCAGGAAAAAAGAATGAATAATCATATACAAAATGGATAAACTATATGTTGAGCTACATTGCTGCATATTCTTGCCTGTTTTTATTTTACGGAAGCATATACAGAAAAGACAAAGCAACCCTGGTAGTCTGAGTTTACTCTCAAGTATGCTGCACAGGCCTGTCTGTGAATCTACAATTAACTGCAGTAAGAATGGGATTAGCATTCAAGAGAGGACAAAGCCCCAAATGAGGAACTTCAGTTAGAATACATGAATGGTTATCACCCAGAGGGTACAGATAAATATCTGAAATACAAGCATTTCTAAACCTGGTCCCAAGTTAAAACGTTTTCATGAAGTGACAATGGCTTTTAAACATTCATTTGACTGGTATTTTAATTTTCCTTGTTAAATCATTGCAACAAGTGCATGGGGGGGCGGGGGGAGAAATGAATATTTTTTGAAGAATTGCTTATTCTACTTTCAATTTTTTAAAAGGAGATTAAAATATTACTTTTTAAACATGCATAAAAGTATCTTAACTCTATTTTAGTTGCTTATAGTAGCATGCATATCAAGTATAAAATGCATTTATGAAAACTTTTGTAAAAAATAAAGATTTTTTTTGTTTCTCAAAGTTGCTTATAATTACTATTTTATATATTTATATCACATAATCCCATGATGCTTGTATATTTGGTAATCATCAATCATAGTGCTTATGGTAAACACGGTATAAAACCACGTCACTAGTCTGCATACCCTACATCCTCTATAAGGGTCCGGTCCCCCAAGAGGCTCTCCTTTGCTTTGCACATTTGCTATTACTGAATTTGTCCTGGATTTAAATCATTGTTATACTTTTAAAAGAACAACTATGGTTCACTCCCAGGTTTCGGTACCAAAAAAATAAAAATAAATAAAAGAAAAATAAAAGAACAGCCCTGGCTGGTGGCTCTCGGTTGGACCATTGTCCCGTATGCCAAAAGGTCACTGGTTCCATTCCCAGTCAGGGCACATGCCCAGGTTTTGGGTTCGGTCTGTGGTCGGGATGTGTACGGGAAGCAACTGATTGATGTATCTCTCTCTCCCTGAAATCAATAAATATATCCCTGGGGGAGAAAAAAAAGAACAAATAACTGTATTCAAATTTTCCATCATCATGGCCTGTAAACAGTATTTCCATAATGTCTTTTACCTACATACAAGTTAACAGGTACACTTTCTTAAAATGGTACATTCTGCCATGTCTAAATTATGCAGATTCTGCTTTCTCTATATTTACTAGCCTCCACTCTTCTCTATTCTCACAGCTTTTAGTGTAATTGGTTCCACTCTCAACATTTTTCTGGTTATAGTGCTTTTTTTTTTTTTTTTAAATCCTCACCCAAGGATATATTGATTTTAGAGAGAGAAGAAGGGGGAAGAGAGAGAAACATCAATCAGTTGCCTCCCATTCACGCACCAGGGATCAAACCCACAACCCCGCTATGTGCCCTGACTGGGAATCAAACCCGCAGACTTGGTGTACAGGATGATGCTCCAACACTCCAACCTAGCCAGCTGGCCAGGGCTTTTTAATGGTTTTTTCTTAATAGTCTTCTGTTTCCACCCCAGCTTCCAAAATTTCACCATCCACATTTCAGTCACGGAGACCTTTCTAAATTGAAAATCTGGTCATGCCACTCTCCTGCTTAATATTCCTTCAATGACTTCCCATAGTTTCGAGGACAAAGTTCAGACATGCTGGTTCAGCACACAAGGCCCAGCACCTCTTCTCCTGGCCTTCCCCCATGGAGCCTTGGCTCCAATCATACCAAATACTTTTTGTAGTGTCCTATAAACATATTTTTCTGTACATCCATGCCCTTTCCTTTAATCCTTGCTCCTACCATTCATCTCTTAAAACTCAGCTCAAGTATTTTCTCTGAGAAGCTTCCCACATGATTGACTATTATCCCTTTGCCTCACTCCCACTCAGACTGTGAGTTGCTTGAGGCTGTAGCCCCAGTGTAGGTCTGGCACATAGTGGATGTTTGAGAAAAGTCTATTGAATGGAAATCCCCTTGCCTTTTTCCCCCATATGTTGCATAGCATTAAGACTGCCATGCCTGAAGGTGCATTTCATCTGTCACTGACTTTTTTTCCATTCTTGACAACTAAGCATAAATAAATGGTATTCAGTTGGACCCTGAAGCCTGTGGATGGTCCCACAATTGGAACTGCTCAATGGGTCACTCCAAAAAAAAAACCAAAATAATATTCATAAAGATTTCCTCTGGGCTCCAGGGAATCCTAAAGCTATGAACTGGCTGTTTTCCAAAAAGCTTTCTTCAGAAATCTCTTCAAAATTTGGAATTTGTTTTTCCATGGAAGTTAGCATCTCCATGACTGACCCAAGCCCAGTCAAACCTGTCACATGATTGAAATGAAACACTGATAACAGAATTCTGAGTCTAGATATATGAACAGTACAACAGGGAAATGGAAGAAGTTCAATCAAACTCATGACTGAATACTTGTACTAGCATTTGTGTATTTAGGGATGGAGCGAGGGGACATAGATGAGTGAGCTGAGGTGTCTCTGCTCTACTTCACATCCTTTTGTAGGGGACTCATTTCCTTTCTCTTTTATAGGCTGGCTCTAGGTGAAGTTTTAAACAAGTCAAGTCTATCTGTAGTTCCTTCCCCTCCCCTTGCTACCAAAAGACTTCTGCTCCTTTCGTTGCTCCCTCATCCCTTTCACAGCCATGTGTTAGGAAGAATGGGAGCATGACAGGCACACTCGCCAAGTGTTAGAGGATTCGTGCCTCCTATTCCAACCATCTGTCGTAATGAGCCTCCCCAGATTGTGGTTTCTTCAGCTGCATAAAGAGGGGACAACTAGATTATCTCTAAGGTCCTTTTTGGCTGAAGAAATCATTCCAAAGGTTATTTTCAGCGTTGGAACCCTATCCATGAACCCCCTTAAATCTTTACTTGATGGCACACCAGTGAGCAATTCCATATAGTCAGACAGAGTTCTAGGGAATTGGATCACCAAAGGGCAGATCAGCCTTTGCTTTAAGCTGTTTCCCTCTTTCAATGTTTCTTCCATTTCCAGGCCTAGGGCATCCCAGGACCCAGCCCTCCTAAAGGTCATTTCAGAGAGGGAGAGGGGGGCGCTCAGAAACTTGGCTTATAAACTATAGATTGACTGTCAGCCTATTATAGATGTGACTAAAGAAGATACTGAAATATGATCATTGCTTTACACTGAAACAAAACTGTGAGATCCTTGACTGAAGGACCGTTTCTAATTCACCTCTATCCCCAGGACCTACCATAATGCCTAACACAGAGTAAGGTGCTGAGTAAGCATCGATTCAGTGTCTCAAGGCACTGTATCTAATCAGGTAAGAAGGGCTACCCTCTGTTCTTTATGAAGTTAAGTTCTAATGGATTAATTATGAAACCGATGATCATAAATGACTTTGTATGAGGTTTGAAATATAAAAAGATAGTGGCTATATGTGTGTATAGTCAAACACACAATATTGGAGCATCACAGAAAAGTCTTGAGTTTTTGTAATTTCATCTCTACAAATGACATTTTTAATCTTGTGAAATGTCCTTTTTTTAAAAAAGGTGGTTATTATGTGCATAATATGCTTAATCAGATGCAGCCAGATGGTTCAGCACGGCTGTATGGGGAGAGAGGGAGTTTGTTCCTATGTCCCCCAGATTAAGCCAAGCAAAGGAGCTGAGAGCCCTGGGGCACTAGGAGGGCTGCCCCTATGGGATTCTCCACCTCGACACAAGGCTGCCCAGATGTCCAGGAGGTAGTTCCGGGGCAGAGGCTAAGGGATTGTGCTTGTTCTTGAAAAGAAACTTCTGGAATGAGAGACTTTCAAATGCTTGGATAGACTCAAGCACCATAGCCCCCCCCCCCCCCGGTTGATTCATGAAGAGGATACTTCTGTTGATTTAATGTGCCTTCGTGCCTCTCTGACCTTCCTGCAATGAGTCAGGCTGACCCCTTGTGCTCAGAGATCTAAACCTCCATTGCCAAGGCCTCAGTAGGGAGAGCAGCCGCCGCGCCAGTGTCACATGGCGCAAACTCCCACGGGAAGAAAAAGGCTGCCTCCTGTAAGCCTCCTGTCAGCTACGAGGCCGAGGGACCCAGAGCCACACAGGCCACTGGCAGATATCCGGGCTCTGCGTCTCTCAGACGACACGGCGGCCGCCATCTTACTGCGTCTTCCCAGAAGCCTCAGCGCGGCTCAGCCCCGGTGAAAAATCGAGAGCGAGGCAGGCGGCTGCAGCCCAGCGCCGGGGTGGGTGCCGCTGGCCTTTTGTTTCTCTCCCCACTCCTCTCCGTCTACTCCTAGGCCGCCCCTGGACGTTGACTGGCTCAGACGGTAGCTCAGTTCCTCAGGAAGGCGACAAGACAGGCAGTCGACGGCCAAGTGGCCTCTGAGGCCTGGGGGTGGGTGGCAATGTGGCCGCTCCGGGTCTATACCCGCAAGAAGAGGGCAGGCCAGAGGCTCAACCTGACCCCGACGCCCGACCTCGGCCAGTCCGCGCCGGCAGAGGCCCCCGCGGGTCTGGGCCGAAGGCTCGCTGTGCACTGTAAGCTCGGTGGGACTGGCGTGCCTGCGATGCGAGAGCTAGGAGGGGGGGGCACGGGGGTGGGGGCTGGGCCGGGGCTGGGCCTTGGCCCCAGGGACCCCTGAAGCCAGAGGCCTGGCCGTAAAGGCATTTGCCCAGAAACGTGCCGCCCTCCTTCAGGCCTGACAGGAAATGGCAAAGCGCACGGTTTGCAGAAGATCGCGGAGAAAACCGAGTGGACTGGGCAGAGCCGCCGCGGCTCTGGGCCGCCCAGGTGCGTAGCCCCGAGTGACAGACCTGTGCCTCTGGCCACCTCCTCAAACCTTCAGTCCCCATGTTCTAACAGCTAACAGCCTCTCATTCTGAGTCAGCGAAGAAAACAAATACAAACTCTGATTTCGCTCTTCTCAGAACATAGACCCAGACATTTGACTTCAGAAATAATTTTTTAAAAGGAAATTTTGCCAACATACTTACAAGCAAGTGGGATACAACACCCAGGAAAGCATTCGTAGCATCAATTGAGTGTTGGTACAATTCACCCACGCTGCTCCTTACTTTTTTCTAATGTCCCCAAAAGAGCCTTTCCAATTATGAATAGTGTCAACAGTGAACAGAGGCATGGAGAGAACTAAGTCCAGACAGTGCCAACTAATTGTGGTGTTTGTTCGTTAGCTCTCAGCTAGGAGTTGCAGGAGAGGAAAGCCTGCAAGAAAATAGCGCTAGTGAAGAAGAGACCGAGGATGAGAAGATGGCGCCATTGAGCGTATGTATGTTTCTCCTATGATCCTTGGATGCACTTGGTGTACAGACCAGTGGTATCTAATGTACTTTCAGGCGAAAGTATTTTCTGGTATTTGTTGAATACCACAGTGAGTAATAGCTTTCTAATGTTTTTATGAATATTGATGCTGTGTCTTCAGACAGGGCCTGGAATTTCGGAGTCTGGTAGATTCATAGCCATGTATTTTCGGTTTTTCTTTCTCTTGCATTTCATTTTTTCTGTCCCTTGACAAAAATTCGAGAAAAGTCTGTCACTGGCTAATTTCCTATGTGACAGATATAAAACTTTTAAATTGTTTCTTATGTTTCTAGCTTCCTTATGTTTGGTAGCTCTTAAACATTTTAAAGCCATTTTCATGTCTTCCCATTAACAACTAGAAGCAGAGGATTCATTACCATTAGAATATTATCTAATTACTTGACCTACTGTATTTAATATGGACTCTTCAATATTTTAAAGATGACTAGCAATATTTTGGAGAAACTCAGATTTTAAAAATTGTGACTCATCTGACATTAACATTAAAGTTGATCGTTATGTTCCAGTGTTTTAGTTTACATATTTCTCTATAACATGTTTTTTTTGAGGACAGTTTCAACAAAAAGCATTTTTTAAAAAGACTTTTACCCTAGATTATAACTATTAAGTCTTCCTTGTAGATGATTCAGACTACTCAAAAAAAAAGTGCTTAAGCAGTTTCTTCTCATTTTTATATATTTCTTTCCATTCTTTTTTGTGCCGTTTTTTCATTTTACAAATTATCATATTGTATATTTCTCTAACATTAAATAGTCTTCAAAAATATGATTTTTAGTGTCTACCTAATGCTCTGTCTTACAGATATATATCTATATCTATACATATAGAGATATATCTATATATCTATATCTGTAGATATAGATATATATATATATATGCTGTAATTTGTATAACTATTTTCCTGTGGTTGGAAGATTGAAATTGTTTTCAAGATTTTGCTGTTATAGTTATCAGCTGGACATCTTACTGCAGAAGTTTTTTTGTGTGTTCCTCAAATTGTTATCCTAATACACATACATTGCAGTCAGTGATAGGGTGGATCATGTTTAAATTTTTTGGTTAATGTTGTTAGTAAATCAGCACCATCTTACCTGAAACTGAAAAAATATATATACATATATATTTGATAGATGAAAAGTAGGATATTCTTTAATTTTCCATTTCTTCAAATGCTAGTGAAGTTAACACCTTCTTTTCTCATTTCATTGGCCATTTGTATTTCTTTTTTGTGAGATATTTCATTAGATACTGAAGATAGTTATGCTTTTACACACATATATATAAAATAAATATTTTCATATTTGTTTGCCTTTAACTTTATTTCAACTATTTTAGACTTATCTGTCAGTCTTTTATTTTGATCTATTTTGCTTTCATATTTGGAGGGAAAAAAGCCCTTCCTACCTAGGGAGTCAGAAAAATACCTTTGTTTTTTGGTCACTGGGTAACCCCACAATATTTAATCGACTAGTATTTTGTTGACTCCCTAGATATGTCTATATTATTTTTTAATATTTATTTTCAGATTTAATATTAAATATCTGATTATACCTGTGATCAATAAATTGAAAGAATCTACTGTACATATGAAACTAACATACAAAGTTGACATTAGTTTTTCATCTTCATAATGACCAAATCATTGTGATACAGTATAAAAACATTCAATCTCATAACTTATGCTATCTTTAATTCTTATTTCACATAGGAGTCAGTGACTGATGATCTCCAGGTTGAAAGTTTATCAGCTGGTAAACTAGTATCAGGTAGGACTGTCAGATGTGAACTTTCTTAGTTTTCTTTTTTACAAGCATAAGCATCCATTTGTGTCTCTGCCATCTTCCTATCTCAGTGAAAGGAGTGTTTTTCTCTTACTCTTAAGGTAAATCCTTCAGCTTGTGCTCTGGCCCACATCCTCTGACAGACCAGTGAATTACACCTGTGTTAAGTGCTATAAAAATGAGATTGACTTTAGTGTAACTGATTGAGTTTTAGTTGGAGAGGTTAGGGAGGGCTTTCATCAGAGAATATCAATTTAATTGAGATCTAAAGAAGTGTAGAAATTAACTATGCAGGGAGATGAGTGAAAAGCAATCCAGGCAAGGGGAACAGCATGTGCAAAGACCCTAACATGGGATTGAACATTATGTGTTCAGTGAACTGAAAGAAGGCCAATGTGGCTGTAGTACAGAGAAAAGAAGGAAATGTGACAATAAGGCAAGGTTGGACAGACAGAGGCCTTACAGGCCATGTCAAAGCTATTGGTGATTATATTTGGAGCATCAGGAAGCCACTGAAGTCTTTTAAAATAGAGATTGATATGATCACTTTAGGTACAGTATGGAAAGAAGCAGATGTAAATAGACCAGTTAGGAGGCTATTGCGGTCATTCAGAGGAGAAACTCTGTGCTAAGAGATGGCATTGGAAATGGAAAGAGGTGGGTGTATCTGCTGGCTAGTTTAGGAATTGAAATTGACAGAATTTGGCAAATGAGGAATGAAGGAGATGGAAGTATCAATGATGACACCCATTTTTGGCTTGGATAATTGGATATATAAGATGGTGACATTCACTGAAAAAAATCTTGTTTCAGGAGAAGATTATAAATTTCATTTTTAATGTATTAATTTATGGGTGCTTTAAGATGACTAGCAATGTCAAATAGGCAGTTGGATATGGAGGGCTGCTGGTGAGCCACATACATATTGATGTAATTGAAGTTATTTTGAAAACAAGAAAGAATGTCATCAGCACACCAGAAATACTGAAGAATTCTTAAAAGCAGATGAGATCAGATTAATTAATATATCAAGAGCAGAGAAAAACCACTGCAGAGATAAGAATAGTTCTAGAGGTGCTCGAAATGCTTGGTCAACAAATGCAAAAAAACTATTATAGAAGAGACCTTAATGGAAGTGTCAAGCATTGCAATCTGCATCACATGGCCTGGCCTCCTCTCCTCATTCCCTTCTTATATAGAAAACACTGGCAACTACCAGTACCTGCTGCCAGGATAAAACCCTGGGAAACTGAACTAAGTAAGGGGTTGGCTCCCAAGGGTCAATGTTGGGGCTGGAGTGAGAAGCAGAGGAGAGTCTGAAGTAAATTCAAATTGCTGCAAGGATCGCAGAGGGAGCAAAAAATAAAGATAGATTATGCTTATTAATCCCAGGATAAAGATATGGTATGGCTGTCTGGAATGGGAATTCTGATACTGGAGATTTTCAGTATGTACACTAGCCAGACAATTAGGACAGTGCCCCACATAACTTAAAATACCAAGAAAACACACAGGGGGACATCCCCACTTAGGACACAAGTTCTTGGAATTTCTCATCACTCTTCTAAAGTCTCTAGAGGTAGGCTACAGAATTTATAGTCACTTCTATGCAGAGATTCTCAAGTAGAAATCTGGACAACTAACCAGGAACTACTAAACTTTTGAAGAGATACAAAAAGTGCAACAAACAGAAGGACTAACACCTGTATAAACAGGAGAAAACTTTCAAGTAAAGATCTCTTTAGAGACAGGAGGCCATTGAATCCATAATATAATAGGCTACTATAAAAAATTAAAGTCCCTGGAAACTAAAAATATCAAATTTAAAGACTCAATAAAAGAGCCTAATATTAAATTATTCAGCTGAATATCAAATTAACAAGTTAGAAGATAGGGTAGAGGAATATTTCCTAGAGTATAGTGCAAAAGAACATGGCAGGTGCTCAACAAATGTTTTTTTCTCCTTCTTCTCCCGGTTAACTTCTGTTCTGCAAAATAATTCAGGTGCCATCTCTTCTGGGAAGTCTTTCGTGCTGTTCTTTTCTCTTCAGAGAGGAGTTGTTCTATTCTGGTAGTTCTGTGGCACGCTCTCTCGCAGGACTTAAAACAGTAGTATAATTGTTTTTCTTCCTCTTGGCTCTAAAGCCATTGAGAATAAGCACTGCCTTTTATTATCTTATCCCATGCTTGGGACATAATATAGTTTCAAATGTTATTGAATGAGTTTTGTACTCTATTTAGAGAAAATAAACCCTTTAACCTAACCAGTATTTTCTAAAAATGTAGTTTAAATATATGATAAATGTCCTTGGTTACCAACTTGGTTATCAAGTTGATGTGTGAAAGATACAAGGAAGTAGAAAGTAGTCTATCTCTAATTCACTCACTGGTCATATTTCTAAGATTTTATTCATTGGTTTATATTTGCAACTTGGAATGCCTTTTCTCAAAAATGTAAATGGTTAGGTTTTGAGCAGCCCCCAGAATTCTTTTTAACATGTAATTGTTTTAATTCTTCCTTGGAATCTAATAATTTGGAAATACGATGAAAATTAACTCAGGACTTTATATTTAATGTGGAAGAGAGAACATACACATTTAATTTTCCTGGCTGAAACCTTACTGAAACATCAATAAAGGCATAAAGAAGGCATGAAACCACAAGGTGGAGAAAAAGAGAGAACTCAGCTGACAATAGATAATCAACAAGTTTGGAATCTGGGAGGCAAATGAATAAATTAAAATTGGACTAACAGACAGAAAAAAATGCTGGGGGGAAAAATGGGCCTGGAGTAAGAACAAACCAAAAAGTAAACTGACTTAGGCTATATTAGATTTAGGAATTAGATGCATCACATATTTCTGAAGGAATGGGTGTAGTGTTGAAAAAGGAGTTTTTTTGAAAATCTTCAAAAACAGCAGTTAGGTGAATTGATTCCTTTGCCAATACTGTATGGCCAGGCACCTACTCTTTTTCCCACCTTGGCAGTTGGGAGACATTGAAGCAGAGGGTCTGGACTCAGGGATGCTAGATACTGCTCCGGGTTGGGGTGCTACTTTCAAAACTCCGTGGGGGAAGGGAATTAGTAAAGTCTGTATACTTGGTAGTAAATCCCCAGTACCCCTTGTCCTACTAAGAAAAATACACCGACGCTATTAGAGTGGAGGATTTCTCTTTTGGAAACTTCTCTACCCAGGAGAAAACTGATATATTCTGGAAGTAATGACTTGGGCCTCTGTCTAAATACTCACTAATTCCTAAACTCCACTGATGAATTCAGTTTCCAAATGCTATTTTAGTGTCTCATTCTTGAACATTCAAGAATTAATGCTCTTTAATGTTTAAAGAAATATTCAAAGAAAGCATTTAAAATTAAAAAAAAAAAACAAATACAAAGAAACTTGAAGGACACAGACAATGCAAGGAGAAGAAAACTATGAAAAGCTGTATCTTTATTATTGTCCTTGTGATGATGAAAAATGCCTGAAAGAAGTGCAGTCTTATATAAAAAGGAACATTCAGAGATCAAAAAGCATTTTTTAAAACTATGAAATCAGAAATAAAATATTCTATGAAGGATTAGATGATGAACTTAAGGAAATATTCCAAAAGTTGAAGAAAATTAAAGAGAAAATAGAAGATAAAAACAGTGGCATTGGCGACACAACTCTGTGAGTATAATGAAAACCACCAAACTGTACACTTTAAAAAGATGAGGTTTGTGGAATATGAATTTATTTCAATAAAGATGCTATTTTAAAAAGAAAAATAATTATAAGATGAGTCCAAGTATTCTAACATCTTGAAAAATAGTAGTTCCAGACATTGTAAACAGGAAATTATTAAACACATAAAAATAGAAATTTTTCTAGAATTAAATATGGTCATGAGTGCATATGCTGAAAAAAACCACCAAATGCCCATCACAATGAATGAAAGACCCACACCAGGGCACAACATTATGTAGTTTAAAAATCCTCAGGACAAAGAAATCATTCAGTCTTCCAGGGGAAAAAAATTGTTGATTGCAAATAAACCATCAAGAATCTGAATAGCATTGAATTTCTCAAGAGCAACTCCAGAAGCTAGAATGTGGTAGGAAAAAAAAAATGCATTTAAAACTCTAAAGAGAACTAATTTTGTAGAGACTAGGTGGGTCCCCACCCAAAATTTCATTCAGATTTCCAGACTGCCAGTGCGATCCACGTACCAAGAGAGAATGGAAAGGTTTATTATTCATATAATGAGGCTCTCTGGAGAAGAGGGCATCTCCCAAGCAGGGCTGAAATTGCCTGTAGAGGGCAGGGAAGGGAGACTGGATGGGTTATTTATGTGGTTAGAGGATGAGCCTGGAATGAGTTTGCCCATGCATGTTTTTAACTTGCTGCCATTGTCAAAGGATGGAGGAGCACCAGGGCTTTCTTACCAGCTTGCCCAGATAGGGGTTTAATCTGTCAAACATCAAAAACTGGAATCAGTCTTTTTAATATATTAGTGTAGAAATCAGTACCCCGCCAAACAATCACTCAAGTGTGAAGATAGCATAAAGAAATTTTTAGACAGGTCTTTTATGCACCTTTTTCTGAGGAAATTAAGGAGTTATTCCAACAAAACCAGAGATCATGGATCCAGAAACCAAAGATTCTAAATATGTGAAAGAATTCCTTTGGACAATGGTAAATAAAGGGAACTCCCAAGAAGACATCTGTGCAGCATATCTAGAGGACAGCCAGTCCAAATTTGAGCAAGGGTATCACGATCTCCAATTTTAATACTTCTTTTTAAACAAAGGGGTGGGGGAGAAGGAAGGAAAGAGAGGAGGAAAAGGAGAAAAGAAGGGAAGAAGAATGGAAAGAAAAGAAAAAGGAACCAATAGAGCCTGGCTGGTGTGGCCCACTTGGTTGGAGTGACATCCTGTTAATTGAAAAGTCAAGTCATGGGTTTGATGGCCAGTTGGGGCACGTGCCTGAGCTGTGGGTTTGGTCCCTGATTGGGGTGCATATGAGAGGCAACTGATTAATGTCTCTCTCCTCCCTGCCCACCCTCTCTCTAAAATCAATAAGCACATCCTCTGGTGAGGATTTTTAAAAAAAGGAACTGATAGATAACGTGTTGTTTTTTGTTTTTGGTTTTTTAAAGATTTTATTTATGTATTTATTTCTAGAGAGGGGAAAGGAGGGAGAAAAAAAGGGAGAGGGGCCTCTCATGCACCCCCTATTGGGGACTTGGCCCAAAACCCAGGAATGTGCCCTAGCCTGGGAATCGAACAGGGGACCCTTTGTTTTGCAGGCTGGAACTCAATCCACTGAGCCACACCAGCCAGGGTACCTGTATTTTAAAATATTGAGAGGAAATGTTTACATTTTGCAAGAAAGTTGGGATAAAATAGTGATAGTTACTTAGAAAATTAATTTAAAAATTAGCTAATCAGCTGCAAGAAAAAACAAATACTTGTAGCAAAAAGGTGATGAATATAGCTCATAGTTCATGGCTCAACTGTAAATTTATTTGAGCAGTCATAATAGAATTGTTGAATATGTTTAATTTATAAATATAAAGGTATCCTTAAAAGAAACAGTTTAATAGAGTTGAAACTAGTTGTCTCTAGAGAGCAGGGAATTCTAATGGGGAGGTATGAGACAAGAGATTGTAATTTTTGTAATAAGCATTGTAGAACTGTGACTTTTTAAAACTGTATAGTATAATCTAATATAAATGTAATTTTAAATGCATTTACATTTCTAACTTGTGACAACACAAAAAATCTCCCTCTAATACAGTCATGAACATTTATTTTCTGTACCCAAGAACCCAGATGGTGAGTGCGGGGCTTTCCTAGTTTGAGTTGAGTTCTGGGATTTGGTGGAAGGGATAGTTCTCTTGTGAGTGAGATTCATGAATTTTGAGAGATGGAAGGCAAGAGAGATACAACAACATGTGAGTGGAAAAGATGAAGGCAGAATGAGAAGAGTAAAAAGTAGCAGGCACAGGGACAGGATACTCTAGAGCACTTCAAGTAGGGGAAGCAAAAGATACTCAGAAGAATAACCTACTTCTGACATCTGAGTAGGTGAAGAAGGATGGTAGATTGAGTCAGTAATGGCAGGAGGAAGTGGCCAGGTAGGAAATAATTGTCAGCTTTAAGGGGAGGGTTGGAGAGGAGAGAAAGGTGGGATGAGTTCCAAGTAGGAAGGACAGAGTTAGTTCTCTCAGGTAGGCAGGAGATGAGCAGAGATAAGCGTAAATCAGCCCCAGGGCAGGGAGAGGGGATAATAGGTTTTCAGAGCAATGCTCCTCTTTCATCCCTTAATCCCCAGCCCATCAATTTCTATTAGTGTTGATCTCTATTTTGTTATGTTGGAAGTGTTTAATAAATGCTTGCTGACGAAAACAGAATTTCCCTTTTCTTTCTAAACTTTCTGGTTCTTAACTTTTAGTACTAAGTTCTATCGCAGTAATTCATTGGAAAATTTATTCCAGTCCAGTCTCACAAAGATAACTGTAAGACTCTGAGTCCGGGAGGTTCTGTGTTAAAGTATTTTACCCATTTTCTTACTGAGCTATTTTCTTCTTATTATTGAGGTTTCAGAGTTCTTTAATTCTGGATTCCATAACATTTGCAAATGTTTTCTCTTAACCTGTGGCTCATTTTTTCATCTTAATAGTCTCTTTTGAAGAGAATTTTTTAAATTTGAGGACGTTCAGCTTATCACTGCTATCGTTTTGAGACTCATCATTTTAGTGTTATAGCAAAGAAATCTAACTATCCCACTATCATGAAAATTTTCTCCTTTTTTTTCCAGTAAGTTTTATACTTTTAGGATTTATATTTAGGTTTATGATTCATTTAGCATTTTTTTTATATAATTGAAAGTAAGAGTGCAAGTTTTTGTTTTGCTTTTGCATGTAGATATCCAGTTGTTCCAACATAATTTTTTTTTTAAAGGATATCTTTTCTCAGCTGAATTTCCTTTGCATCTTGGTCAAAAATCAGTTGCTCATGTATGTGTGAGTCTATTTCCAGGCTCTCTATTCAGTTTATTCAATCTATTTGTCTATGTTTAGGTCCATTGTTTTTTTAATGGAATAACTAGAATTACCTTTTCTTCTCTTTAGCTATTTAATGGGTTACTTATATATAAAACTTGGATTTTTCAGTCAAGAATCATACCTGAACAAAAGTACGGAAGGAATAAGTTATAAAACTTTGAAAAACAATGGAAAAGAGTTATAATGCATTTCTTCTACATCAGAAACAAAATTATTTCCTAAGATGAAATTAAAATGGTTTACCAATAGTATGTTTTTCGGTTGTATGTGGAAGTAATTTTATATTCTCAACATAAACTGAATTTTTAGGATTTTGAGTTTACTATTGAAACATTTTACCTTTTTTGTTTGTTTGTTTATTCTACAGGACTAAGTTCACAGCATATTTCTAGTTCTCTTCTGAGCTATTCAATCACAGGCTCTTATACAGAATGTGAGAGTTTTGAAGAGAATTTAAGTAGCTTCCCATCACCTGAACTCTTCAGAGGATCAGACTATTTAGGTGAGAAAATAATTTCAATCTTAAGTTGTTCCACTATAGAAATTGTTCTTTTGTCCAAAAATCCTCCAATGAATAACGATCTTTTTGAGAGGCATACTTGTGTTCCTCACCAAAACCTCCTTTTCATACTTTGGCTGTGAAGTTGTGATATGACTTGATCTGGCAATAAGATATTAGTGAATAAAACATGCAAACCTTTGAAATATGCTTAAATGGTATTCACTTTTGCCATCATAAGAAGAATATATCCTAATTAGCTTCTGCCACTTCTGTGGGATCCCAGAAAAACAGGTACAGAACAGAATAGCCAGGCAACCTGCAGAGTACAGAGGTGCTGCCCAGTTGTTTAGCAGACCTAAACCTGAAGCAGAGCTGCCTGAACCAACCAGTACATACGGGGATAATAAATTAATGCTTTCATTTTATGCCACTGAGATTTCGGGGTTATTTATTATACAGAAAAAGTCAACTTCTTCAGATATTGTACTGAACACAGAAGAGAGGAAATTTAAATGAAACTGTACATTCTCAATTACGGGACCTGCTCACTCAGTGCCTGTCTCCATCCCAACCCAACAGCTTGTTTCTGTGCTCAGTTTCCAGAATACTAGCACCTACACATGAGCCTTTCAGACAGGAGAATGGAAGACACTTTCCTGAGGAATCTGAGCAACCCTAAAGAAAGTATCTAATGATAATGACCTCAGTAGTCCTTTGATGAAACTGACAAGAATACCCTACAGTGAATCCAACTATGTGACAAGCCACAAGACATTCTACTTAGCCTTTTAGGGCCCCCCTCTTAAATATGAGCAGAGGGGAAAGGATCACCAGACTTCTGAGGAAAGCCTCTAACATAAAACGTAGAGATAAAAACAAAGCAAAATATGGGAGTGACATCAGAAACGTGTTGGAATAGGAAGCCCTGGACCCTCCCTCCCTCATCGGCACATCAATTCAATAGCAATACATGGACTGATTCCATTTGTGAGAAATCTAGAAACTAGTTGAGGGGCTCCTGAAACCCAGAAAAGCATGCAACCAGCTACATCAAAGCCAGGAGGAAAAATCAAAACAACCTCTCACCATAAACCCTGCCTCCAGCACTGTGCCATATTATTGGCAGGAAATCTCCAGCTCCCAGCTTTTCCCTGGGGAGGGGAGGAAAGGACTGAACCATGAATCAAACATTCTAAATTTTCTGGGAGGTACTCAAAGGATTGGATACTCTCATGCCTGTTCCAGAGTTCTGATGGGACCTGACATACTCTAGAAGCCTGATGGATACAGAGAACAAAGATAGCTCTTTGGTCTAACATGTAAGTATTCACTAGATTCCGGCTTCTCTCTGGGAAGGGAAAGAGTTGGGGGCTGCCCAAAGAAATGCCTTCTATCTCACCTATTTCTGAGCATTGATGGGACCTGGTATACTCTAGACACCTTGTGGATACTAAGAACAAAGATGGTAGTTTTGACTAGGAAAAAGGTTTGAGAGGATCCCAGAATTTCTGGTTGGGCTGATTGGTGAGAGACTTCTGTTTGAAGCTAGTCATGAAGACTGAGAGGTGGCTGTTTTTCCAATGTGAAGATATCAGCACAAAGAATCAAAGAAAAAGAAGAAAGAAGGAAATATGGTCCAAAGAAAGGAATAAGATAAAGCTCCAGAAACTGATCATGGTTAACTGGAGATATACAAATTACCTGACAGAGAATTTAAAATAATTGTCATAAAAATGTTCAATGAGCTCAGGAGATCAATGCATGAAAGAAGCAAGAATTTCAAGAAATGTATAGAAAACTTTTAAAAGAACCAAACAAATCTTAAGAGCTAAGGAATATAATAAATAAACGGGAAAAAACCCCAATAAAGGGATTCAACAGCAGACTAGATCAAGCAGAAGAAAGAATTGGCAAACTCAGAGAGTGAAGAAAGCTTAAGAGACTTAAGGGGCATAAACAGATCAAAATATTTTTTCCAGAGGGAGAAGAGAGAGATTTTGAGAATATAAGAGAGAGAAGCTTATTACAGAAACAATGGCTAAAAACAACCCAAATATGGGGAAGGAGATATACATTCAGTCCCAGGAAGTTCAAAGAACCTCAAATAAGTTGACCCAAAGAAATCTACACCAGGACACATAATTACATTGTCAAAAGTCAAAGAAAATTTTGAAAGCAGCAATAGAAAAGTGACTTGATATGTACATGGGAACCTCCATTAGACTTTCAATATATTTCTCAGCAGAAACCTTACAGGACAGAAGGTAATGAAATGACATAGTCAAAGTGCAGAAAGAAAAAAATGTCAACCAAGATCATAACCAGCAAAACTATTCTTTAAAAAAATGAAATGATAAGGACCTTTCCAGACAGACAAAAGCTGAAGGGGTTAATAATTTCTTGACATACTTGATAAAAAATGCTAAAGGGAGTTCTTCAAGTTAAAAGACTCTAAAAAGGCAACATAAAAGCATATGAAAACATAAAACTTGCTGGTAAGTATATAAATACAGAATATTTAATACTGTATCAGTGGCATAAAAATCACTTTTAATTGTAGTAAAAAAGTTAAAAGACAGTATTTAAAATAGCTATATCTATAAAAATATGTTAAAGGATACACAATATAAAGAGATGTGAATTGTAATATCAATAACTGTGTGTGTGACGGGTGAAGCAAAAATGTAGAGTTTGTGTGTATGATTGAAGTTTTTATTAAAGCTTAAAATAGACTGTTAAAACTATGTTTTGTGTCTAAGCCCCATGGTAACCTCAAAAGAAATACCTATAAAAGATACACGAAATAAAAACAGAGCTCTGGCTAGTATGGCTCAGTTGGTTGCAGTGTCGTCATGTAACCAAAAGATTGTGGGTTCAGTACCTGGTCAGAGCGCATGCCTAGGTTGCAGGTTCAATCCCTGGTCTGGGCACCTATGGGAGCCAACCAGTTGATGCTTCTGTCTTGCTTTGATGCTTCTCTCTCTCACTTCCTCTTTATCTAAAAGCAATGAAAAAAATATCCTCAGGTGAGGATAAAAAAAATAAATAAAAATAAAATTAAAAAGAGAAACATATAAAGACATCAAAACATATCAATTTAAAAATCAATAAAACACAAAGGATGATGGGAAGAGAGGAAAAGAGAGGCAAGAGGGGGCAAAAGAACCGCAAAAACAGAAAACAATGAACAAAGTGGTGATAAGTCTTTTCCTATCAGTAATTGCTTTAAACATGTCTATTAAACTCCCAATCAAAAGACAGTGATTTAGTGGATTTAAAAAGACTGACTCACTTTAGATTTAAGGAAGTACATGCTGAAAGTGAAGGAATGGAAAAAGACATTTCATGCAAATGGTGACAAAAGAGAACAGAAATGGCTCTACTTATATCAGATAAAATAGACTAAGTCAAGAATTATCACAAAAGACAAAAGAACATTATATAATGATATAATAAAGGGTCAATTCACCAGGAACGGATAACAATTATAAATAAATATATACCCAACATCAGAGTATCTAACACATAAAGCAGACACTGACATAACTGAAGGCAGAAACAGGCAGCAATACAAGAATAGGAGAATTCAATACCCCCCTTTCAATAATGGATAGAACATCTAGATAGAAAATCAACATTTCTTGATTTCAAAATATATTGCAAATTATATTTTAGAGTAATTATAACAATATTGTACTGGCATAAAGACAGACATAGACCAGCAGAACAGGACGGAGAGCCCAGAAATAAATCCATGTGCATATAATATATCAGCTGATCTTTGACAAGGATGCCAAAAACACACAATGAGGAAAGAATTGTCTCTTAAACAAGTGATATTTGGAAAGCTGGATACCCACATACAAAAAATGAAACTGGACCCTTACCATACACCATACAAAAATCAACTCAGTATGGGTTAAAAACTTAAACAAGACCAGGATCTATAAGACTCCTAGAAGGAAACATAGAGGACCATTTCATGACATTGCTCCTGCCAATGATTTGTTGGATATGACACCATAAGCACAGGTTACAAAAGCAAAAGTATACAACTGGAACTACATGCAACTAAAAACTTTTGCACAGCAAAAGGAACAATGAGCAAAGTGTAAAGGCAACCTACAAGATGGAAGAAAAGATTTGCAAACTTTGTATCATAAGGGATTAATATTCAAATTATATTAAGAAACCTCTACAACTCAGGGAAAAACCACAAATAACATGATTTAAAAATGAACAAAGAACTCGAATAGATGTTTTCCCAAAGATGATACAAATAGCCAACAGGTACATAAAAAAAATGTTCAACATCACTAATCAGGGAAATGCAAATCAAAACCACAATGAGATGTTACCTCATACCTATTAGTATGGTTATCTTAAAAAGATGTGTTGGCAAGAATGTGAAGAAATTGGAACCCTTAAATACTTCTGATGGGAATTTAAAATGTTGCAACTATTATGGAAACCAGTATGGAGGTTCCTAAAAATATTGAAAATAGAAGTACGTGATCCAGCAACCCCACTTTTGGGTATTCGTAATAATTGCAACCAGGATCTCAAAGACATACTTGCATTCCCATGTCCATTGGAGCACTACTCACAATAGCCAAGTATAGAATCAACATTAATGTACATGGATGGATAAATGGATAAAGAAAATATGGTATATATATTCAATGGAATTTCCTCAAGAAAGTAGGAAATCCTGTCATATGTGACAACATGGACAAACCTTGAAGACATTGTGTTAAGTGAAATAAGCCAGCCACAGAAAGACAGAAACTTATGATTCCACTTATATGAGATATATAAAGTAGTCAAATTCACAGAAGTATCAGTTAGAGTGTTGGTTGCCAGGGTGTAGGGAGAGTGGGATTTGGGGAGGTGATACTCAACAGCTATAAAGTTTCAGTTACGCAAGATGGATAGGTTCTGGAGATCTGCCTTACAACTTTGTAACTATAGTTAATGATGCTCTATTATTCTTACAAATTTAGGAGGGTAGGTCTCATGTGAAGTGTTCCTACCACAATAGAAAGTTTTAAAAAGTAAGAAAAAGAATCTAGTAGAAATAGAAACACAAGGAGAGGAAAATAACTCCAAAAAGTTTCATTGAGATAAAAATATAGTGTATCCACTAAATAGGAATAGAATGCTGTAAGAAAAGGTACTACTCAAGAGAACAGAATAAATGCAGTAGCAGAATGGAAAACTCTGTAGAAGTATTAGAAGATAAGGTTGAGGAAATTTATCAGAAAAATGAAAGAGAAAAGGATTGCAATTTGGAGAAAATAAATTAGAGAAGCAGTATATGAAATCCAGTATTAAATAATAGGAGTTCCAGAAAAAAATACAGTGAAATCAACATAGAGAAACAGATTATGAAAGAAGTAATTCAAGAACATTTTCTAGAGATAAAGAATATGATTTCTTGGTTAAAGGGGCCATGGTGTGTCTATTACAATAGATGAAAACATCAAGATAGAGCATTATGAAACTTCAGAACACCAGAGAATGAAATAAATAGAATGGATTTATATAATTTGGTAGAGTTTTGGATTAAATAGATGAAAATACAGAGAAAACTAAACATCAAAAAAGACTTTTATTGACCCAAGAAAAGCAAAAGGTGGTTATGGTATGCCACAAGACATTTTTATAACAAGTTACCATCACAATGTCTACATTGAATATTGTTCTAATTAAATATGTGATATAATAATGAGGACATGGGAAGGGTAGGAACTGTGGGAACAAGGGAATGTAAGAGAGAAAAGCTTCATTTTTCTATAGTGGAAAGTCAATGGAAAGCTTAAAACTGACCGAGTAATAGCAGCAAGTTATTCAGTGACAAAGATAATGGAACACAGGTATAACATACATAAATATGAGAGGTAGCTCCCATATATGCTGTCTGCCCCTTAAATCAATAATCTTTGTGGAGCAAAAGTTTGACAGGAGTTGGCTTAGAGCATGGGCATAGGCCAAAGATTATTTACTATCCCGATGCCATCAAGCCTTGTCTTTTTTCTCTTTCTCACCCAAAACTTTAATTACCATATGAGTATGGTCTGGGCACCTAAGGTGAAGGGGGGAAGGTAACCTGCCACTTGTATGATGTTGTTCAAAGCTTTATTGCCATTTCTTCCTGCTTTCTTAGATTGGGAGTGTCCCAAGTTGGAAGAATACATACAATGCAAGAATTCCACTCTTCTGGATACCAGTAAAGCAGTAGCAATAGAGAAGGCACCACAGTTTTCAAACCTCTCTTCAATTTTAGGTGAGTTTTCACATTCTTTTTTCTCATATCACAGGAAAAACCCTTATCACATGTTAAGAGCAGTCTCTGTTGGTTTTCACCACTGTAAAGTTACTAGTTTCTCATTGTAATTAATAAATATCTAGTAAAAGATAGTTTGAAATTCTGGAAATCCTCTATCTCCTCAAACTTTCACTGATTTAATCATACATCAGAGGAAATTGACAACAACAGTTATCGTTGTGGTGCTTGTCTAATGGTAATTTTCTACTTCATTCTTTCCTGCTATATTAATTAATTGAATTTTACTGTAAAACAACTGTTTCCTTTCTACCATTTATTTATTCAGTTCTTATCAGTATGGGCTTATGGATATTTGCTTTATTTTATGGGTTAAAGTCCAATACATTTATTATTTAATTATTTAATTCTAGTGTATATGTAAAGAAGTTTTAGAATTGTTATGCCAGACCCCTGTGAGGAACACATTTACTAAATTGATTAAAGCATTTATTATAGTTCTTTTTGTTTTTAGCATTACAGTATCCAATCAAAATACTATTTTCCAAAGTTGTTCTTTTCTTTCTCTTCCCTTATTTCAGTGCAGTTGTTATTCACTTGTAATATAGTTAGATTCATTTATTAGTGTTGTATTCAGGTTTTGGTTCCCCCATCCTGTTTTGTTTTGTTTATATATTTAGGGAGAGGGAGCTATGTGACAGTATGTGAAACATTACTATGGTTCTAAGAGTCATAACTATACAAAAAAAATCTTCTCAGAAAAGTGTCACTTCCTCCTTCTCCCTGTCTGGATGGCAGTATTTCCATCAGTATTTGAAGGCCTTGTTTTCTATGTTATGTTTAGTTTGGCAACACCTTTGCTGATGGAAAGCACCCAAATAAATAGTCTGCCTTTTTAGCAACTATTTCAGTTAGGTTATTTGTCCACTGCAAATGACAAACACCCTCGCCCTCCCCCCAAAAGAAACTCTACCTCAAACTGTATTAGATTAAAAAGGGAATTTATTACCACATGTACCTGAAAAAATCCAGCAGTAAGTCAGATGCAGATACCCAATTCCTTTCTATCTCTCAACTCAGGATCCTTCTGTATCATTTATACTCTAAGCCAGGCTCCCTTATATAGCAACACTTTTTAGCTCCAGACTTAGATACTCGTAGCCTCACATCCAATGAACTAAGTGCTTTTCTTTCCCAGTAATTTGAACAGAAGTCCTGGGCCTTACTCATTGCCTTAAATTAGTTCATATGCCTATCCCTGAACAGTTTCTTTGGCCAGGGAGATATGCAGGGCTCTAACTGCATTGAGTCACAAGCTATGTCTGTACCATCAGAAGAAAAAAGCAGGAAACTGTTGTCAGCAAAAGCAGAGAGTGGATGCTGGATGATACGTGTCCACTGTGGTCCTTTGTGTTTGGGGAACCTCCTTTCAGGGAAATGGTTTGCAATGATTGGAAAGCACCGTTCACTTCACTTTCACCTAACTTGGGATTTTTATACTCTAATTTAATGTAAGCAGAGCTCTGCAGCTGCTGAGGGTTATAACTCAGAAGACCACACCCATGGCTCTTCATATTCCTAGAAATATTCTGGTGTATCCAGGCTGTAAAATGTTGATTGATAGGCATTCTCTTGACTAATGAATCCATCAATACGTATACCTATACAGTTGGTCCTGGATTAAGAACCATGAGGCCTGAGTTTAAGTTTCAGGTATACAGCTATTAGTTTTATAACTTGACCAGTTATTTATTTTCTTATATGTAAAATGGAGATAGTAAAATGGCATGTTTTCCTCACAGGGTTGCTGTAAGAATCAAGTAAGATAATAAATATAAAAGGACCTCAAAAGTTATAAAGAACTATCCAAATATAAGGTGATAGATTCCTGCATCTCATAAGATGTTAAAATAATTTTGTTTTATTTTGGTATTTTGAAAATACTTTTATTAATTTAAGTGTTAGACATAAGAGCAATATAAAACAAAAATTGAAAAACAGCACTATCACCATGAGTTTTAGAGGAAATATTTATTTTTATCTAGATTAATTTGAGCCTCTGGCCTGTGTTTGAAATATATTTCTAATAGATTGGTTTTTTCCCTTTCCTAGTTACCTCTTCAGAAGACTATCAGAAATGCCATAGAAAAATGTAAGAACTGGAACTAACATTTTAAAAATTAATGTGCTTTTCAAAACTTCATGTTCTAATAGTTATATAGAAGGTATGATTGTTAGCCCCCAAATTTAGGTGTTCATTTATTAAGTATTTTTTGAGGACTCACTGTGTGCCTGTACTGTTCTAATCACTAGAGATACATAGTAGTGAATGAAATTGATTAAAAACAAAATCTCTGCCTTCCTTGTGTCCACATTCTAGTTGGAAGATATGGGCACTAAAGACAAGCAAATACATTTGTACTGTGCTATATGATAATGAATTCTATGGAGAAAAATAAAGCAAGATAGGGGGCTAAGGAGCCTTGGAATGGAGGTTTGCTATTTTAACAGTGTGATCAGAAAAATCATCACTGAGGAAGTAGCGTTTGAGCAGAGAGCTAAAGAAGGGGACAGACTCACTGTGGGTGACTTTCTGGAGAAAAGAGCATTTGGGGTAGAAGGAATAGTTGGAGCAAGGCTCTGAGGCAAGAAGGTCTAGGCTTCTGGAGTGGGGTGAGCAAGGAGAAGTAGGAGATGAACTGAGAGAAAAGCAGGAGGCAAGGTAATATAAAGCACTGTGGGTGAGTATAAATGCATTGGAAAGCCTTTGGAGGGTTTAGAAGGATGACATGATATGACTTAAGTTTTAACAACAACAACAACAACAACAACACACCCACCGTGGCTTCTGTGTTGAGACTAGACTATGAGAAGGCAAAGAATTGGGGAGATTATAGTTAGGAGAATTTTGCCACAATCTATGCTAGAGATACTGAACTCTGAACCATAGTGGTAAGAGTAGAATTAGTGAGAGGTGAGATTTCAGATATAATTTGAAAGCAGAACCAACAGGGTGGACTGTTGATGGATTGAATGGTGGCATATGAAAGTAGTCAAGGCAGACTCCACAGCTTTGTCTTGAGCAGCTGGAAGGATGGAGCTGCTATTTATTGAGATGAGGAAGACTGAGGAGAAACATATTACTGGGGGAAGATCAAGAGTTTGATTTGGGTCACATAGACAAAAGTGTAAGTTGTATGTGAGACACATTTCAAGGAAATGGTCATAGTCTGGGCCATGAATGGCCATACGGGCTGGGATCTTAATTTTATCCTGAATGTGATGGGAACCCTGAAATATTTTCAGTAGTTCTGTAAAATTTAATGAAATTTTTTCATACCTTAATCTTAAAAGGTTGAAGGAACTGAAAAAAATTCATACAAGTTTAAAAACAAAGTCAGTAGATGCCATATAGAAAGTGAAAAGAAAATCCACAGAATGGAAGAAAATATTTGTAAATCATGTATCTGATAAGGAACTTGTATCCAGAATACATAAAGAACTCTTACAACTCAACAATAAAAGGACAAATAACCCAATTTAAAAATAGGCAAAGGATCTGGCATATCTCCAAAGAAGATATGCAAATGGAAATAAGCACATGAAAAGATGTTCAACATCATTATCCATTAAGAAAATGCACAACTTATATGACATAGCACCTCATAGCCACTAGGATGGCTATATCCAAAAAGACAGAAAATAACAAATTTGTCTTAGATGTGGAGAAGTTTGGACTTTCATACATTGTGGGAATTTGAAATGGTGAAGGTGCTTTGAAAATTAGTTGGGCAGTTCCTCAAAATGCTCCATATGATCGAGTAATCCACTCCTAGCTATGCATATCTAAAAGAAATTAAAACATATGTCCACACCAAGAACTTGTACATGAAAACTTCACAGCAACTTTATTCATAATAGCCAATGAATGGATAAATAAAATGTGGTATATTCATAATGGAATATTATTCAACAATAAAAAGAAATGAAAACCTGATATATGCTACAGCATAAAGGAACCCTGCAATATTATGCTAGATATTAAGCCACATATTTACTGGTTGCATTCATATGACGTATCCAGAAAAGACAAATCTACAGAGGCAGAAAGCAGATTAGTGGTTATCTAAGACTGAGAGGTTCAGGAAAAAATGGGGATTGACTTCTATAATGTAAAATTGTGATAATGGTTTCACAACTCTGTGAATTATACACATTAAATGGGTGAATTGTCTGACATGTGAATTATATCAATAAAGCTGTAAAAAACAAAGTTAGGATCAAGGAAATATTATTTTTAATAGGAGATACAGATAAGGAAGGGACTAGAACAAAAATAAATAAGCCATAAAAGTTAAGAGTCAGTTGACTTGAGCCATATATGGCTCTAAGCTTCTTGACATGCAAGGAGAAAGTCTATAGCTATTTGATAGATTTCATGTCCTTCACATAATCATGTACAACTCTTACTATCTTTTACCTAGATTTTTCCCCACAGAATTAAATGTTAGACAGTACAGTGTTGTCTTTTTTGGTGGGGATCTGTATTGTATAGATATTCCATGCTGATGAGTGTGTGGGGGTAAGGATTGATATACTTCTGAATGCAGATATCTGTGGAACTTTTATATTACCCAACCAAAATTCTTGCCTGTTATTCCACCTCTTCTGAGAGATATGCAAGATCATAGTTCTGTCTTTGAGCAGGTATTCTTGCAGCAAGGAAAAGATGGATTAAGAGTGATTAGATTGAAAGGATGACTATTGTAGGATCTGAACTTTAGCAGCAAGGATAGTGTAAAAGAAAAATTTGGGAACAATTCACAAGGGATAATCAATAGTTTTTAATGATTGGTTTGTTAGGGGAGGAGATGGTGTCCAAATTGGCCCCCAGTCCTCTGACTTAGAAAACTGAATGAATGATTCACTTGGTGAAGGAACACAAATAGAAAAGCAACGGTAAGCTGGGGTGACAGACAAAGACGATTTTAGTTTGGAAAACACTGAAATACCTACATTATTTTAAATTGAAGATATCCAGCAAGCAGTTGGATATCCCAGCCTGAGGAGCAAGGGAAAAGTTCTGGGCTGAAGGCATAGTTGTCCTCTTGGAAAAAGTGTGTAAAGTGGGAAGAAAGTTGTATTAGGGTGATAGTCTCCTTAGGAATATGCTTGTATCAGAATGGTTAGAAATTTCTGAAGGAAAGAAAATCTATTACTGTTATTGCTGAGTGAATTGTTCTTCTTTGGTAAACTACAGTGAAAATCCTAAAGGTGAGCTATTAAGGTCACCAGAGAGAAGTGATGATGGACTTCAGAATTTGCAGCATGATGTTTTCTTAAAGATGGAAGGAATGACGTTTGGATAATAATGATACCACATTTGGGCACCTGTTATCTACTAGATATTTGGGCATTCTCTTAATTAGGTAACATATTCATAAAATTAAAACCCTGCAACTTTGACATAGGACCTAATGGAGAACAGAAGTTTTGTTTATATTGCTGTAAAATCTGTATAGACTCACTTCAATGACTGTTGCCTGGGTACTGAAATGGAGCAGATGTAATATAATGCTTGATTATGTGTATGTCATCCTATTTCCTATCCCCCTTAAATACTGGCCTATCTTTAAAAAACAAAACCTATCACTTAGATGTGCAAAGAAAATATATCTTTATTTTTAAATAACTAATCTAAACTTCTCATGGGCTCTCATCACCCTTCTTCTTTATTTAGCTGGGGAATCATGAATAAACTTAGTGATTAATGCCAGTTACTTCAATTTAAAAGTTTCTTTTACAGGGATATAAAGTACAGCATAGGAAATATAGTAAAAAATATTGTAATAACTATGTATGGTGCCAGGAAGGTACTGGAAATATCAGCGGTAACACTTTGTAAATATATGATTGTCTAAATGCTATTCCGTACACATGAAACTAATACAAAATAATAGTTAATGTAAACTAATTGAAAAATAATAAAAATTTTAAAGCCCCTTTTGGGTGAATGCTGAGACTTTTAGATTTTTCTCCCCATTCCATATTCCTGAGGATGCCATATAGGCAGGCAATCATATCTCTTGATTTGCCTGGAACAGTCCCAGTATGTGCTTTTTGTTCTGACATAATTTTTAATAGAGCTCACTCTTATTCTCAGAAAGGTCCCAGTTTGGACAAATAGTCACCCTAAGTAGGCATAGTGGCAGGCCAGACGTGGGGGAGGGGTGAAGTTGGAGCTTGAAGTGTCTGATATCCACAAGTTGTCTCTGGATTTTTTACTAATTTTTGCTGCAGGTTTCAAGACTCATTCTACACCTGGGCTGGAGTTCACCAATAAAGTCATTGGTGAACTTAAGACCTGACTTAGAGCTTGAGGTCTTCCTTTGCTGATTTTTCCCTCCCCTTTTTTTTTTGTTGCTACCCCAAACTCCCTGAGTCTTAATGAAGTCCTCCATCCAGACTTCGACCTTGTTGCCTTTCTGTCCTCTTTGCGGTAGAGTCACCTCACCACAGTAGCCCTATGCCAGGTGTTTTGGTTCTAAATCTGACCAACTTCCCCATTGCCGTTAGTATGTGGAGCCTTGAGAACTTGTTTACAACGTTCAGGAATTAAGGGACTCTCAGGAGGGTCACCGAAGGCTCCGTCTCTGCTGGAATATTCCAAGCTCTTATTTTTATGTTGAGTTTCCAACCTGCATGGACGTCTAGTCCCTGAGTTCTACAGGATAATTGGTTGCATATAAATGTCCTTATTTTAAGTATTATTTGAGGATTCTTGAAAGTTACTGAAAGATTAAGAGTGTACCATTAATTTGTTCTTATTATAGAGTGATGACATTAGCAGATGAAAATATTTCTTCAAAACCCAAGATTACTTCAAATTCAGAATCAGGTAATAAATAGTGAAACTAATTTTTGTAATTCTGCATTTTGTTATTTTTGTCACAAAGCAGTATATTTTGAGAAAATTAGTAGCCCAGGAGACTGAGTGCTTTTTAGCTTGATTAAGAAGTGGAGATATGTGAGGTTAGACTGGGTCTGAACTATCAACATAGCACCCATCATTAGTTCATTTAATAAATGTGTACTGTGTATGCACTTGCTATATATGCCAGTGTTCCAGTTGTGTGTCAGGCTCTTTACCAAGTGTTAGAAAACTGAGAGATAACCTCTATTCCTGTCCTCTAGGAGCCAATAGTCTAATAACAGAAACAACAAATAAACCATAAATTTCTTCTCAGGCAACTCCTGCTCAGTCTCCTTTGCAATCTTATCTACTGCTATTAGCCATTAAATGTGGGAGTGCTTCAAGACTGGTTCCCAAATTTTAATCTCTCTTCAATCTACCATCTGATATGTATAGGGGCTCTGAAAAAAGCAGGGCTCCCAAATTTTTTCTCAAAGGTTGCCAGTTTTAGCAAATAAAAATACAGAATGCCCAGTCAAATTTGAATTCAGCTAAGCAGTAAATCATTTTTAATACAATTATATCACAACTATTGCACATGCTTGTACCACTGTAGGGGAAATACTTATACTAAAAATATTCATTGTTTATCTGAACTTTAAGTGTGCATTCTGTATTTTACCTAGTCACCTACTAGCCCCCACAGTGAATCTGGGGATATGTAAGTAATATAGTGATCATAAAAGCCAGGATTTGCATGCCAAGGTAAGGAGTTTGAGTTTTAACTTGAGGGCAATGGGAAGCTTTTGAAGAGTTTTAAGCAGATTATGTTAGATTTTTATTTTAGGAATGCACTGTGAACAATGGACTACAGAGGGTCAATCAAAAAGCTATTGGAATAGCCTAAAGGAAAATTTTTTAGTGCTTTAACTCAAGGTACTGGTGTTAAAAATAAAGAAGAGCCACATTTGCAACATTAAGTACATATAACAGGTAAAATTAGTACATAGCAGACTCTCAGTAAATACTTGTTACTTTGAATTGAGCTTGGAAAGTGAGGAAAAGGGAAGAGTCAAGACTGAAGCAATAGATATTAAAGGGGCCAGAGGGGAAAGATGTTCATTCTTATTATACTGAGGTCCAGTAAGGTAGGACAGGCAAGGTGTCTGCTCATTTTGGTGGGAGTTGAAACTGGATTGTGTGGGCTTGGGAGTAAATAGGAGGAAAGGAAGCTATGCTAGTATTTGTGGATAGGTCTTTAAAGAAGCTTGTCCATGAATAAGAGGAGAGGGGATAAAGTGTGTGTTTAGGGGGTGGAGGGCAGGTAATATTTTTGGTGAGATGAAAAAGACCTGAGTATGTTTTAAATGCTGATAGAAAAGGTACAGTAGAAAGAAAGAGCCTGAAAATACAAGACAGTGGAAATAGAAGGATAATTAATGGAGAATTTTATCACATACACTTTCTCTACTAATCAAAATGTAAATCTTTATATAGAGTTTATTTACTCCTATGAAGCCTGGAGCTCTTGAGATAAAGATATTTTAAAGAATACTTTATTCTGTCTGTCAGATTATCCAACCTATATTATTTTTCTTCTAAAACTGTTACAAAATTGCAGTTATTAAATTTGTTTTTTTCACATTTGAGTTTTCTGTACTTAAAATACAGTTAAGTAATTAAAATACTAAAGTGTATCTTTATTTACAGATAATTAAGTAATTAAATTAATTACTTAAGTAATTAATTTACTTAATTTAAGTAATTAAAATACTAAAGTGTATCTTTATTTACAGATAATGCAGCTTGTGAATTACTTGCTGAGAAAACTTATCCTTTAACCCCTGAGAAAACAAAGAAAAAAGCAAGTATTGAAGCAGAATAACTGCATAAAACATAATTAATATAGGACATACTTTTAACCAACACTTTTATAGGAATTATTTTTCAGTTATTTAAATGAATAATTCAAAATATTTTGGAGTTTAGCAATTGTATTACATTATTGTTACATGAGTATATAGCCTACATAGGTTTAATGGGAGAGAATTAAAATTTATTATTTTTCCAACTTCATTTTGGATAATTGGATGACTGTTGATCATTAAGGCAAAACTAAGACATTTGCTGTGTAGGCAGAGCAGTGTTTTATGCTGAAGAATCTATGAATTATTACCTTAGGTCTAGAATTTAGAGATCTTTAGACTTAATTTAGCAGGAGATACTGCCTAGATGGCTACTAGATGCACAGCATTATTCCAAGCACTTTTCATTAATTATATCTTTTTGGCATTCCTATCAGGTAAGGTTTTTTGTTGTTGTTTTTTGTTTCCTTGGTCTTGTTTTTACCTTTTTATTGCTGAGAAAAAATGAGGTTAAGATGTTAACCAATGTGGTTAAGGAGCCTGTGGCAGGTCTTTCTGGATCTAAAACCTGTACTCCTTCTACTACACCATCATATTATTGTGTACATGGGGGAGCCAATTGAAAGAGAGCATGAGTGTCTGTCAGCAGGAAGACTCATTAGTGTGAAGTTACAAAGATTTTTGGTATGAGTTTGTGGTGGCTTTGACTAGGATGTAGGAAGATTGGAGAAATATCGTGGATTTAAGAAAATTTTGCCTTTAGAGTTAATGGATTGAAAATAGAGGATGAAGGAGTGAGAGGTGTTAAGAAAGACCTCTAGGTTTTTGTGTTAAGCAGCTTTGGTGGATAAAGGTGCTCTATTTAATGTGATAGGAAAAGCAGGAGGTCTGAGGACATACAAAAATGAAAATGTTGAAGAAGCCATTGGCTGTAAATCTTTAGGTCAGGGAAACAGAAGAAGAGTATATAATACTATAGATATTTTTAAATTAATAGAAATGGATAAAATCACCTGAAAAATAATATCTGTAGAGTGCAGAAGAAAAGGAGGTCTAGGTCAATCCTTGGAAAATTATACATTCAGGTAGAAAAGGGAGAGTGACCAGAGAGAGAGGAAAACAAATAGAATATGCTATCATAGAATCCAAGAAAAGAGAGTGTTTATTCCTGAAAGTGCGAGTGGTCAGTGATATTGAATGCTACCTGCAGGTCCAGTGTTATAAAGGGACCTCCAGTCCAGTACATAAGGAACTTAGAAGTTACCACTCTGTCCTAACAATAGTAAAAAGCTAAACAAACTGAAAAAGCGGCAACTCTTCTTTTGACCCACCAGAGAAGTAAGGTCACAGGGCATACTGCTGCACCCAAACTTGAAAAGACAGGTGGGTAAAGAGAATTACAACTTACTGGAGCAAAAACACATGAAAAGAAACCTCCCTGAGAACCCGTACTGGGGTGTGAAAAACAAAAGTGTGATTGATAAATTACTGGAAGTTTAGTGTGGATGACTCTGAAAGTTAAAAGATTAAGGGGACTTCCGACATCAGGGGACCTTCATACTTTTGTCTCTACTGAATTTTATCTCCAAGAGCTCTACAAGATCCTGATGGTGTGTATCAGAAAAATCCCCTCATGCTCCCATTAGTGAGGATGGAAAAGGGACCATTTTGAAATAGACCACAGTATTCTCTTTTTTCTTAAGAAATCCTTCCCTCAGGAGAAGGTATTTTACCAGAGCCAGACTCATCAAGGGGAAAGGAAGTAAGCAACTCCAGCCAGTTCTATCCTTCCAAGTAGGGGAAAGAAAATACTCAACTCTCTCTCCCTCTAGCCTTCTACACTGGGGGAATGGAAATACATAACTACAGCCTCCTCTAGCCATGCTCTCCCACCTGGGGGCGAGCAGATGGAAACTGAGAAGCGCTGGTTCACTGAGAAGTTCACAGACCAGGGGTAAAGGCTAGACAAAAAGCTGAGACATAATCAGAAAACTATAGACTGCTTCCCGTCCCGTCCCCCGAGCACCTGACACTACTAAAGACCTATTCACCACAGTTCCTGTTACCCAGTACATAATGTCCACTTTTTAGCAATAAAATACAAGGCATACTAAAAGGCAAAAAGAAAAAACAGTTTGAAGACACTGAATCGTATCAGATCCAGAGTTATAAGTAATGTTAGAATTATCAGGCCAGAAATTTAAAATAACTATGATTAATATGCTCAGGGAGAAAGTAAACAATATCATGAACAGATGGATAGTATAAGCAGAGAAATGGAAATTCTAGGAAAGGAAAAATAAATTCTAGAGATCAGAAACAGAAAGAACAAAAAGAGAAATTCTAGAGATTAAAAGCACTGTAGTAGGGATGAAGAATGTCCTTGATGGACTGACTTATTGGTACACTAAACACAGCTGAGGAAAGAATGTTTGCGTTTGAGGATATGACAATAGAAACTTCTGAAACTCAAAAACAAAGATAAAAAAAAACTGAACCCCCTCCCAGGATATTCAAGAACTATGGAAAAAGTACAAAAGATGTGACATATACATAATTGAAATTCCAGAGAGAGAAGAAACTGTGAAAGGAACAGAAGCAACATTTGAAGCAATATGACTGACAGTTTCCTAAAATTAATGTCAGACACCAAACTACAGATCTAGGATGCTCAGAGAACACCGAGAAGGATACGTGCCCAGAAAACTATACCTGAGCATATCATATTTGACCACTGGAAAAGTCAAACAGAAATTAAAAAAATCTTAAAAGAATCCAGAGTGGGAAAATGCCTTACCTATAAAAGAGCAAAGATAAGAATTACAGACCTCTCCTCAGAAACTATCCAAACAACAATAGACTAAAGTGAAATATTTAAGTGTTGAGAGCAAAACCACTAACCTAGAATTTTGTACCCTGCGAAATTATCATTTAAAGTGAAGGAGAAATAACTACTTTCTCAGACAAACAAAAACTGAGGAAATTTGTTGTAAGTAGGCCTGCCTTGTAAGAAATATTAATGGGGGTTTTTCAGGGAGAAGCAAAATAGTGCGTCAGTATAGGTTTATCTCTCCTAACAAATGATGCAGTAGGGGACGTTGTGCATGAGTGAGGACAGGAGTTTATGGGAATTTTTGTATGTTCTACTCAGTTTTGATGTGAACCTCAAACTGCTCTAAAAAATAAAGTTTGCTAATTTTTTAAAGTCAATTTCATTTAGAATCAAGAAGGAAACTGATGACTTTAGCACAAATAATTTTAGTGGACTAATGAGAAGCAAGATAAATTGGAATAGGTTGAAGAGATATAGAAAACTGTAGAAGTCTAAAAATAGAAAAAGAAGTATATTGGAACACCAGTAATGTAAAATGTCTGTGTGTGGGGAAATAAATGTGTAGAACTTTTTATGCAATGAAGTTAATTTATCAGCCTAAAATAGAATATTATAAGATGTATAATGAAAGCCTCATAGTAATCACAAAGCAAAAATCTGTAAGAGATACAGAAATGATAAAGAGAAAAGAAACACAGCATAATACTACAAAAATTATCAATTCAGAAAGACAGCAAGAGAGGAAGAAAGAACTACAAAACAATAAGAAAGCAATTAACAAAATGGTAGTGGTCCTTACTATAAAAAAGTCCTTATTAATAATTAATCTACATATAAGTGGTTTAGATTCTCCATTTAAAAGACACAGAGTAACTGAATGAAAAAATATACATAACCCAAGTATATGCTGCCTACAGTAAAATTGCTTAAGCTTTCAGGACACTTAGGCTGAAAGTGAAGGGATGGATAAAAGTTATTCCACGCAAATAGAAGTCAAAAAAAGAGCTATATTTAAATCATACAAAATAGATTTTAAGTCAAAAGCTGTAATAAGAGACAAATAAGGCCACTATATAATGATAAAGGGGTCAGTTCATCAAGAGGATATAACAGTTGTAAATATAAATATAAATATAGTCTGTCCAGAAAGTATCCAGCCACACAATATGAAAAATAGAGACATTTATTGAAGAAGAGAAGATACAAGAAACATGTACATAGGACAATGACACCTCACTTCCCATCAAAGTAGGCACCTTAGGACCTCACACAATTCTCCCAGCATCTTTTCTACAGTGCAAACCACTCTGCAAAATCCTTTGTTGTAATCGCCACCAGCTGTCCCATCATATTTTCCTGAATCTCATTGATAGTCTGAAATTTTGTCCCTTTCAAAGGTGATTTTAGTTTTAGGAAAAGCCAGAAGTTGCAGGGCACCAAATCTGGGCTGTAGTGGGAGCTGGGGTGATTTGATGTTTTACCAAAAAACTCTGCATTGAGAAGTGATGCCTAAGCAGGCACATTGTCATGATGATGTTGCCAATCACCAGTTTCCCATAGCTGCAACCATTTTCTTTGTATTGTATCTTTCAACCAGTGAAGGACATTGAGGTACTATTTTTTATTGTTTGGCCTGTAGGGGCATACTTGTGGTGGACAACACCTTCCTAATCAAAAAACACAGCTAACGTGATCCTGATCTTTCTGCAACTTTTCCATCCTTCAGACGTGGAGAACGGGGACTTCCTTTGGGATGATTGGGCCTTTGTTTCTGGATCAAAGCAGTAGACCCACAATTCATCTCCAGTTATGACCTTGAGGAAATCTCAGTCATTGGTAGCAGTTTGAATCAAATCATTAGCAACTGCAGTACAATGTTCCTTCTGCTCTTGTAGCAGAAGCCACAGAACAAATTTCACCATGACACTTTTCATGCTAAGATCCTGCATCAAAAAATCATGGACACAGTAGTTTTTGTAATCCCCAAATCAGCTTCTAGTCCTCACACTGTCAGTTGCTGACCTTTGTTGATTGCAGCCCATACACATTCAGCATTCTCAGGTGTTCTGCTTCTTGCAGGCCTTCCAGAATGTGGATCATTTTAAATGGATTCTCGACCATTTTTGAAGTGTTTGTGCCATACTTTTATTTGTGCTGCACTCATTG